AGTCAGATTGTGGAATTCTTTTAGATGTCAATTATATGATGTCTTTCTTTCCTCTAAAATCGACGCATTGGAGGACTTATTGATATCATAATATTATCATTTTGATGGTGTTTTCGGAAGTCCGACTCTTAAACTTGAGTACTTTATGAATTTCTTTTGATAACATATTGCTCACTGGGTAGATTTAGTGCTGATTGGTTTCTACCAACGTTATAGTATAAACGTTTAGCTAAACTTATAACTTATATGTCATAACTCTAGAATCTTACTAAAATTCGAACATTGATTGGTCTAATATTGGCTCTAACGGTATTATGTTTTGTACACATAATCTTTGCGAGCCGAATATGAATATTTCCGAATGGCAAATGTGTCTGTTAGTAGCTGTCAAATATAGTAGTAATATATCATATTATTATTTCTAATCTATCATTAGGTTATTATATTATTATATTATTTCTAATATTATTAAGTTTATATATCATTAAGTTTATTTGCTTATTAATTGTAGATCTAATATTAATGTACGAGTCGTCCTCATACAGTTGAAGCTGTACTTGTGAGGAACATAATTGGAAAAAAATACTGCAAAATTACAAATTAATAATGAACACAAAAGACATAAATAACAAACAAGTACGCAAACGTACGAATTTTTCGAAAGCCAAAAAAATAAGATTAATATATAGATTTAGTATCTCATTATAAAGATATGTAATAGAAAATAAAAGATCAGATACGATAACTTCTAAAGAGAACGACATATATTGGAAAATAATAGAACAAATTTTTAATAGTACATTGTCTTCAACTGAATTTCGAAGTAAAGGCGAAGGGTCAATAATAATTGTTCCATAGGAGATATAGGTTTGTTTCTTAAAAGAATATGTTTGTATTAAATTTATATTTGTAATAAAAAATATTTGAAAAAAAAATTTAGATAACTTACTTATTAGTCAAGAATTCTAATTCATCTAAAATATTTTCTAATACTAACAAGACCTTTATTCAGTCGAAATCGCATTTTAAATTCAACGTCATCCAGTTCTTCAAAATAATTAACACGTTGTTTAAATCTTCTTTCTCTTCTGATTAATAATTCTTCGCTATCTTCGTCATCTGAAGATGACAGTATCAAGGTACGTACCATATTTGAAATTATAGAAAATGCTAGTTATATTTCTTAACCACAGTTCAATTACTTTTAAACGGCCAAAATTGGCCGTTCAATATAAACTCAGTTTATATACATTTAAACTTGGAGCAAATAGTTGGTAGAATCCAATATTCAAGTTATCTTAGGTTAATCGAATATCACTAGAGATTATCTTCTTAAACCGTGTTGGTAGAAACGGGCATAAGGGCCAATTTCACAAAGTCCGATTAGATTAACCGACGGTTAAAATTAGCAGGGTGGCCAACAGAAAATAGAGGTGAAGGAAAACCAAGCATTCTTATCATTTCAGTTGGAACCCTGCTAATTTTAACCGTCGGTTAATCTAACCGAGCTTGGTGAAATTGGCCCTAAGAGTCTATTTGGCAGATTAGACCAATTGAAATTACATGCATATATCGAGTGCAAGCAGTCATAAACTAGTTTCTGAACAGGCCTCTACTAGAATTTCTCTAGTAAGAGTTAAGACACCGGGCTATCAATTGCTGATTAGTTATTCCAATAGCTTGGCTATTACATATGGCGGATTGGAATAACCAATTAGCAATTTGAAATCCACCATATCTTCAAAATTAAATTATATACTAAGGCAGTTTTCAGGTCTTATAATATGAAATTTAACATTTCAAACAAAAAATTTTTTAAGTTCTTATAACTGCCGTTGAAAACAAAAAAAAATAGTGAAAGAAAAATTATAGTTATGGTTTATTTTTTCTTCAAAAAAAAGAAATTAAGAATGTTCTAAATTGAAATTAATATTTATACATTTAGGTTTTCTCCTGTCAAAAATTAAACGATCTGAAAACTGCTGAAAGTTCTCGAAACTGCCTATTCATGTCAAAAATCGTCCCAAAAGCTGCTTCTTGACATATATATACAGGGTGGTCCATTTTAAAAGAGCCAGTCAAATATCTAATATATATATATACCCAGTCAGCCACATCTGTTCTACCTATGCGAAACGCATAGGAAAGAGATTTCATACTATCTCCTGTAGCTAAATAACGAAGACATTTTGGGTTAAAGAAAAAGTATTGGGTTTCGAATATACTTCTGCTTTGTTATATATGGCTTGACAATATTAAACAATTTTTCATATGTTTCCACATTCATGCGGAAATAATTGATGAATTTTTCATCATTATAAAAATACAATCTTTTTATAAGAGTTGTACTTGCTCCATATTGTTCCCGCTTTTCATTTGAAAAAATCGGACCCAATATTTTCGTTTTACTATTTTATTTCGCTCGTTTTCTTTGCACAATAAGAAAAGTGTAACTAACTTTTTTAATTTCATTATTGACATTCTATCTGTTTTATTTATTGTTTGCATCTTATTTATTGTTTGCTTTTGTAGAGCAATAATAGATATTAATAACTCCGAATTCATTTTAAGTTACGCTTTATTTACTGTTAAGTCAAATTATGGACATTCAAACATATTTGTGTGCATTTACGTGATATTCAAATCTCATCGTTCACATGGGCGCAAAATTTGCGTAACAAATATTCGCGTAACCAATCAACTATAATATTTAGCATTTCTATTGGAATGTTTTAACAGAATAGAAAAATATCATTGGTTAAACGTGCTGCTGTCGTTTTATGTACCATGTGTACTAAGGACATTCAATTCCACGTAACAGAAAACGCGGAATGCTTCTCATTGGTTACGCGAAACGCGTTACGCGGAAAATATCAGTCCATGGGACCGCACCCTAAGAAACGTAAGCGCAATTATGTACATCGCTTAATTGGCAGTTCATCAAAAATTAGCAACGACATACTTCGCGACACCAATAAAGAAATGTAGTAAATTAGTTATTGTTATCTCGGACGAAGGTGGTCTAATAATCTGTTATTGCAGAGCGACCTTGATGCTACCGATCCATGTGTAGAACAATTTCAAATTATGCTCAGCGTTTATATGTATACAGCGATTAAAATCAATGAAATTACACAGTGTATTCCTCTTTAAACATAACATTTCAAATCATAAACACCTAGTAACACACTTACGTGCAATTAAATCAGATTTTGTTGTTATTATTGATTAAGGCCCGTTCTACAATAAGTCGTATGTCGTTAGCCGTAAGCAAATTGACCAACCACAGTCAATATTTTTTGGAATTATCGACTGTGATTGGTCAATTTCCTTACGATTAACGACATACGACTTATTGTAGAACCGGCCTTCGTGTTCGTGTTTGATATTTCACACTCATATATAAATTAATGTAATTAATTCTAATAATATTCAATAAAACACAAATATGAATCTTTGATATTTCGAAAAGATATGTAAATTTAATCATCGGATTAAATCAGTCAGAAAAAATTCAAAATCTACATAATAATATAGCAATACCAAAATTTTTTAAAAACTCATGCGATCTTGTTTTTTAAGGACTGACATAATTTTATTTTTATAGAATGTTTTTTTTTCAAATGGATTTGATGTTATTTCATTTTTATAGGCCGTGAGAAGAGAAAAGAATTATAGGATAATATTAATAAAGTCTCGCACTTCCCAATGGGCCATAAAACGATCGCTTAGAACGATAAAAGATGATACACGCGAAGCTATGTTTATTATTATTCTTTAATGTATATAGCTAAGAAATGGCTCAATGGACATAAAACATGGAATTAATAACGACGATATTATGACGATATTACATTTTGATACATTCATATTTATCGATTAATAATTATCACACATATATGTAATAATACTAATAACCATCGCATGTGCTCTTCCATCAAATGTTCTCTACTGATAGTTGTAAATTAATTGATTGCAAAAACATACGAGTTTGTAGGAACCTATCAGAAATTGTATGAACTCAAAATAATTTGCGTTGTATTTTGGAAAAAAACTAATTTTTAAAATATTATCTCACTTTACGGTTATAATATTTATTTTAACATATAAATTATAGTTTTTGAAACGTTTTTATATATGCTAAGAATGTCTTAATATCTTTAACGAAACCCAAGGCAGCTCTCATTTTCTTAACAGTACTTTGGTAAACTATTAATTTTATTTGAATTGCCCGCCATTCGTTATCAAGCCTTTTATGTAATGTGTTTTTATGTTAAATTATCTATATACTGATAAGATGTCGCTGTTGCTGCTTCTTGTGCATTTGCTCAGTTCTTAACGTGTATGACGTGAGATGACCAAGTGTTTTTTTCGATTTTGTTTACATTAAGTATCAAGCATTTATTTATTTTTTTTGCGCGAAGTATGTATGATAATGAACACATGTATTGCGAAAAACAGATTTTGTAAATATTTAAGTGATATTTAAAAACTGATTGATATAAAAGTTAGCATCTTTTCTCAATTTACAACTCTGGCAATAAGTATTTAAAATGAATATTTGTATAACATTAACAAGATCATCTATCAGTTTTATGGCGGCAGCAGGTAATTTGATCATTTAATTCTTTAAACATTCTAGTTTTGTTCGAAAATTGATCTTTTAAACTGCTTTTAATAAAGCTATTGTATCAAGTAGAGTTTCTCTCAAAAATATGTTTAACATCAGAACCGATCATTTTAATCAAATTTAAGCATCGTTGTGTATCTCAACGCTATGAACTATATTTATATAAACTTGAGAGCGAAGAAAACTTGGGAAGTGTGAGCAAAAAGGCCAAAGTCCTCTTTTGTTCATTGATTATGTTATTATATCTCTTTATGATTCATATAAATATAAGATGTTCGAAAATATTATTTTAAATAGCTATTAGCTTTCTCAGTCATTCTAGCGTTAAAGACTTGAAACATTAAATTGCGAAAATTTGAATATTTATATATCGAATATAGCAATTTATTTGTAATGGTTAGTACAATTGGTTCAGCATTAATGTGTTTTCTAATGCTGATTTAAAAACAAAACGCTATTCAAAAATTGGATTCATCGGATTGGGCAACATGGGCGGTCATATGGCGAAAAATCTGTTGAAGAAAGTAAGTAATAAAATTACATTCAATAAATTATTTCTTCATCAAATTAAAGAAAAAACTTTTTATAAATAATTAATTCTCGTATTTTATTAGAGCTACAAGCTCACTGTATATGACTTGAACAAATCGGCAGTGACAAATTTAGTGGAAGCGGGAGCAAGTAGCGCACCAAATGTGGCTGAAATGTTAAATGAAGTTGAAGTTATCATCTCGATGTTGCCTTCAAATCAGCATGTCCTCGATATTTACACCGGCGAAAACGGTGTACTCAGGTAAAATTAATTTCCATAGGGTACAAAAATATTTTTGACATCATAAAATTTGTTAAATAATATGTATTATAAATTTTAATTTTTATTAATTAGTTTCTTCTCATCGTTAATTTCTCTTTAGTGCAGCAAAGAAGAACGTTTTACTAATTGATAGCAGCACTGTGGATCCATCGGTGTCTCAATCGGTCGCATTGCAGGCTCAAAAACATAATCTGAGATTTATCGACACTCCCGTGTCGGGAGGTTCGTCACAGATTAATTAATCGAATAAAATAAAGATAAATCAAGAAAAAAAATAACAATATAATTATAATTTGCTGGATCAATTATTCCATCAGAGAGATCAAATAAATGTTTTAAGATCAAAAAAGGAAAAAAAAATAGATTCAACATTCAACCAATATGAACATAATATGAATGCTATTTGTGGTGTGGATATTAAGGATGATTTATCTGGTTAAAAAATTAAATTATATTTTGAATGATTCATTGGTTTAATAAATTTTTTTAATTTTTTATAGGTATTGTTGATTTTCTTCGATGAAGGAGATATAAACATTTAATTATATAAATTTGACAATTATGTTATTAAAAAACATATTAATCTATAGTTATTGTTTTTGTAATATTTGTAAAAATCTATTTATCTTTTTTTGTTTGTAAAAATGTACTAATTTTTACAATTTTACAAAGAAAAAAAAGATAAAAATAAATTTTTACAAATAAATTTACTGGTGCAATAAAATCTATTTTATAATATTTGTAACACACAAGCTATATTTATCTTTTTTTTCTTTGTAAAAATTAGCACATTTTTACAAAAAAAAGAAATGAATATAGAGTTTTACAAATATTATAAAATAGATTTTATCGCGCCAATAAATTTAAATGATCAATAAACATAAACAGGATTGGAATAAGTTTGAGATACGGAAATATGAAAAACGATTTAATATTAAATTGTGTCAATGTCATACTAGGTGTGAATGCAGCCAGGGACGGTACTTTGACTTTCATGGTTGGTGGTTCGAGTACAGATTTTGATCATGCAAAATCTATACTCAAGGCCATGGGATCCAGAATCGTTTATTGCGGCGATGTCGGCATGGGTCAAGCCGCTAAGTTATGTAATAACATGCTATTAGCTATTAGTATGATCGGTACTGCAGAGGCATTCAACCTTGGACAAAAGTGAGAAACAAGCGGGATGTTTATTTATCCGCTTTAATTCTCTAATGTTAGACTGTATGCGCTTTATATGTTTTAGGCTGGGCTTGGATGCCAAGGTGCTAGCAAACATCGTAAATTCCAGCTCGGGAAGATGCTGGTCTTCTGATCTCTACAATCCAGTCCCAGGAATCCTACCTAATGTTCCCAGTTCGAAGAATTACGAGGTAATCAATTATGGAAATTCATTCGTGATTCGTCTTTTTTATAGTGCGCGGATTCATAGAAATGGAACCAATAGAAAAAATTGAAATAATATCGCAAAATTTTTATTATGAGATTAATAATACTTATAATTTATTTTTTTTAGATGAGTAATTTTATTATAGAAAATAATCACTTTATTTTTCTTACTTATAAATTGTAGGATTATCGACAATTAATTTTATTTATACGTTAAGCAAAAAAATTACATAAATAATTAATAATAAATAAAGAAAATAATAAATTTACCAATCTAGGGTGGTTTTGGCACAACATTGATGGCCAAAGATTTGGGATTAGCTCAATCTGCTGCAATCAGAACGCAAGCTCCGATTCCTCTCGGTTCTCTGGCACATCAGATTTATAGAGCGATCATTGCTCATGGATTCTCGAATAAAGATTTTAGCGTAGTTTATCAATTCCTTAAAGGTAAAAATTGAAAAGATCTGAAAAAAATATTAAAGTTACATTTATTGAACAATGCAAACATAGTTTGTGAATTAAATGAATGAAACCCATAAATGAGACAAACCTTATATTTGAATTTACTTTATTTTTTTATTAATTATTTTATTTGTGTGTGTATTCGGCATTACTTTACATTCTCTCTATACACTGAGCGCCAGTTGATAGATATCGACTAAACGATTTCTACAAAATGTTGATAAAGCATGTGCGTATTAATGTTATCAAGTTATGATAGAATGTATTTTAAAAATGTGTATATTTATCTAAATTTTTGGGTGAAATGTTGAAACTGATATACAAAATCTTGCAAAAATAAAATAAACTTTTATTTGTGTCAATCAATCAATAGACGCATTCAGCGGAATCAACAGTTGTGTATCGTCTTGTCAACAAGTCAACATTTGACGTTGATTTGTTGGTTCTAAAAGTATGAACCAGTCACGTTTGATTATTACCCAACTGTTGAATCCGCTGAATGCAGCCACCGAGATACTATTAAAGACCGCTAAACCTGGGTAAATTTTCGTGACTACCAAGCAGAATTGTGCCATAGATTTCAAAATTACGTTTACACGAATTGTTTACATATTGTCTATATGATGTTTACGTGGACTTTTTTCATAGACAATGTAAACTATGTAAGCATCATAAATTAGATGTCAGAATGCAAAAAAAAAGAATAATATTATAAAACAGTTAATGTATCTATATATGTGATTTTAGTAAAATAAAGCAGAGAAAAACGTAATGCTATTATACAATAGCCTTTTACGACTTACGTTTTTCTCTGCCTTACTTTATGTCCACGACTACGACAGACGTCTCGTCATCAGCCTTGGACTAGGGATGTTCGATTCCGATTCGATTCTTTAAAAGATCGATTTTTTTAGTTAAAAAATCGATTTTTTGAATCGATTCTTTGCTATACGATTTTTTTGCGAATCGATTCTTTACCCTAAGAATCGAAGAACTGATTCTATTTTTAAAAATTCGTTTTTCTCGCTTTTTTCTTACCTGTCGCTACTTATATCTTTATATCTACACCATAATACTATGCCTGCGGTCGGTAAGACACTAGAAATGCTTCGAAGCATTGCATTAACCAATCAGAATAAATAAATCTTTACTCTTTTTGTCCTGATTGGTCAATCAAATGCTTCGAAGCATTTCTAGCGTGTTCCCGACCGCAGCCTATGTCTACACTCTTTACAATCTATATAGTCTAAGAGCCAATTTCACCAAGTCCGGTCACATTAAAATTTAAAATTAATTAATTCAATTAAAAATTTTTTATGGTCACAATTAGCTAAAATTAATTAATTAATTAGATTTATGTATGTTTCAATTATATATAAATAATTTTGTACGATTTTTTAGATCGATTCTTGCAAAATCGATTCTTTGATTCCGATTTTTTAAGAGAATCGATTTTCATGATTCGATTCAGAATCGATTCAAGAATCGATTCTTTTAAGAGAATCGAACATCCCTACCTTGGACTGCTTAGGGCCGGAGCACAGACTTTTGCATAAGCGCATAACCATAAGCGAAAGGAAGTTGATTAGTCCATAAGCATATGCATAACGAAATAGACTAATCAATTTCCTTATGCTTATGGTTATGCGCTTATGCAAAAGTTTGTGTTCCGGCCCTCATGCTATGTAAATCAATATGGCGATTTTGTTTCGATGCTCATTGGTCCAGACGGTCTTACGCTATGCATATGCAGCTATGCCAATTTGTGTGTGAGGGCCTTTAGGGCTCGAGCACACACTTTTGCATAAGTGCATAACCATAAGCATAAGGAAATTGATTGATCCATAAGTATGTGCATAAGGAAATGGACCAATCAATTTCCTTATGCTTATGGTTATGCGCTTATGCAAAAGTATGTGCTCCCAGCTTAAAGCCTATTACACACAAATTGGCATAGCTGCATATGCATAGCATAAGACCGTCTGGACCAATGAGTATGCTATGCAAATCAATATGGCGATTTTATTTCGATGCTCATTGGTCCAGACGGTCTTATGCTATGCATATACAGTTATGCCAATTTGTGTGTGATAGGCTTTAGGCTTCTGTTTGTAGTTATGTTTAAAGCATGAAACATAAAAAATGAAATATAAAGAAAGTCTTCGACAAACCATTTTCCATAGATTATTCATTGTTGACATAAATGATATATTATACATACCCTGCCGAAAATGGTCGATTAAAACGGATTTAAAAAAATGTAATCCGAATCGATCGGGATTTCTGCACCGAAAATGCGGTATTAAAACCGATTGAAAATAGTCAAATCGAATTTAGTACACTTCAGGCGATTAGTATGCTTCAGGCGAGTTAATGTTGGGTGATATACATCTACCTCAATCCGAAATTATATGATTTCATAAGTTGTAATTAAACCTGTTTTAATGCAATTGAATTGGAATTTACCATAGTCAATCCATACGTAAAAATAATCCCTTTTCATAAAAAATTCCATCATTTCGCAGATGAAAAGTAAATCGATTTTATGTAGTGTGAAGTCGGATTTGCTGTTATCATGAGTCACAATCAATTATTGAATCGGTGTTTCTACAATTGAAACGGACTCAGTTGTTAAAAACAAATATACGATTTCTCCGCAGAGGGTCCGCCTTATATCCCCGCTTGACCGCTTTCTACTTCCAGGTTGGCTCGCTTGACCTTCGCCGCGTAGCGGCGCCGCCCGGGACTACGCGCGAAAGCGCGAGCGCGTGGGCCGCCAAGTTGCGGGTCGCACTATTGTATCGCAAATTGTGCTTAATGTGACGACCTACGGCAGCCACAATATCCATTCGATTATTCGTGTTTATTTGGATTGACAACAATATGGATTAAAATGTAATGATTTTAGATTGGAAATAATCCGCGAAAGCAATATTAAAACCGATTATAGTTCGTTCGGAATTAAA